TTTGGGCCTGAAGGTCATGGGTTCGAGCCCACCGTAAGACCTACTTCAAGACTCCCACTGATGCCTGCAATCCTTGGGCAAGACACCCCACTTTGCCTGAAGCCCCACTGAAAGATCTCAGCTCCTGTGGACTCATCACCTGCAGGAGGATCAGTGAGGGGCTGGTGCTAAGCGTACTGGGTGCAGCTCTGACTGCCACCCCCCCAACCCAGATATGGATTAAGGGGAAGAAAATGGATGGATAGATGGAAGAAATAATTGTATTAAATTGACCTCCTGGCCAATTTTATGAATTCTAATATAACGGGTAAGTCCCGCCTTCCCTTCTCTTAGCTATAGCTCAAAATCCACGATGCCATCGACTTTAACCAATCAAGTGATGCCAAGGGCTGTCAATCATCGGCGCTGATGCTCGTAGCTGCACGCATGCTCAGTTTGTTTTCACGGAACCTCTGAATCAAGCCTCTATTAAGCTCTGTAACTTCATGAAAACTGAACAAAGAATTCTGAACATCAGCGCTGAGTTACTCATGTATATACTGAACCTATATCCATAATCAGATCCTCTGCAGATGTGTCCGATAATGTTCAATTAATGATAATAGCCATTTCCGGGTTTACCCAGGAACAGTGTTGTCAACTTAGCGACTTTGTCGCTAGATTTAGCGACTTTTCAGACCCCTATAGCGACTGACTAGCGACAAATCTAGCGACTTTTTCTGGTGTTATTGGAGACTTATCTGGTGTTTTGGCGTGAAGCACGTATAGTTCTGCAGTTACTGTCCTCAACGTGAGCCCCTCCCCCGTCCCAAAGCACTTACAGGCGGCCAGTCTCACAGTAGCCTTGCTAACAAAAAAATGTCAAACATGTTATTGTTTTTGCAAATTATGTTCATGGTTTACTTTGACTTGTTTTGTCACCAATAAACGGCTTCAACCAGCCTTTAAAGTATTAAGTTATAAACGAAAACTAAACAAACCACCCCTCAAAAAAAAAAAAAATGCAAAAAACTATGAAAAAAAAAAAAAAAATACTTAAAAAAAAAAAAACCTAAATAACTCTGCCAGAGTGTGTCTTTTGGGTCACTTTGCCGGTCCCAAGCCCGGATAAAGGAGGAGGGTTGGTTGTAGAGCTAGCAATAACCCTGCATAACAATCTTTTGATTACATTTGCTGTTATAACATTTAACAATACAGGACAAAACTGATGTGTGTAATGTGGATCTAGACAAAGCATTAAAATCATTAAATGTTGTTAATGTTGAAATTATTTTTGTACATTTGTAGTTCTAAACGTATTTAGGGTGTTTTTTACTCACTTTTGTCTCTCCCACGACGTTATTCCTCTCTCCTACAGCGTCCGTTAGTTATTTGCAAATTGCCAATTATGCAAATTAGTCGATGACGTCATTTAGCGACTTCTAGCGACTTTTGGGACAGCCAATAGCTACTTTCCTTACTGAGGAGTTGGCAACACTGCCCAGGAAGTAGTTCAGAGATCGCTTTTTTTGTGCATTAAAACGGGATTTTTGTCATGAAAACGTTAACAGATTAACATTTAAATGTGTTGATTGATTGTTACGGAAACGTAGACGTAGAACCATAAAGAAAGGAAGGGGGAGGAGCTTGGGTCATTTTTTTCTAATCATGTTCCGCTCTTTTTTTCTGACAAACTCCAGACAATGACTTTAAACATGACCTGCAGAGACCACTTCAGTTCAGACCAGTTTCATGTTTAATTCCAGATAATAGTTTGAGCGTAGATACATAATCCTCCATATGGAATTAAGTCCAATGAGTTTTAAAAAGTAAAACAAAACGGATGTCTCCATAAATCCATCCATAAACTCCTCTCGTGTTTCGCTGCAGCCGAATCTCGGGTGCATCCAATTTCTATAATTCAACATTCTTACCCTTCACCTCTCTTTGTCATCGGAAGTGCATTTTAAATAATCTTAAAATGTGTTATATGTACAGTATGTTAGCCAAACCTGTTGCTGCCCTTAGCAGATGAAGAAGAAAGGAATTTTCTCATGGAATCGGATGCAGCTGAATTCTGCGCTCACATGCGCCCCCCTGAGGCTGGCATCACTTGGTGACATTACAGGCCGTGGTTGAGCGCGATTGAGACCCATATTTGTCGTCAATAACACAGTTTATGACCATCCTCTCAACTGTAGACATGTAGATTGTAAAGGAAATACGTTTTACATCAGCCAATAATTGCTGAGAGGTTATCTCATCCTCCCTTCTCTCATGACAACACGAGTCCTATCATGAAGTTTAAAAAAAAGTTAATTGAGCGACTTGAGTAACGTACAGTAACGGCATGTCGGCAATGATAACGCCGTTATAGTTACAGTCAAAGTAATCAATTTGATTACTCGTTACTGAAAAAAGTAACGCAGTTATTCCCATCACTGGTCAGGACTACCCGAGTTGGAAGATTTATCTATTGTTCATGTTTTTTTAATGGTAGGGTAAACTGGAGCACCCAGAGGAAACCTCCGAGAACATGCAAACTTCACTCAGAAAAGACCCTGTTCCGACTGGGATTCGACTTCTTGCTGAGAAGCAAGAGTGCTACCCACTCAGCCACCGTGTCACCCAGTGTTTTATTGCAGTCTTTATTGAACTTCCCCTAAGCTCATGCATTTCCAGTGTTGTCTAACCCATTTCCTACTTGAGCTCTCAGAGTTGATGAAATTAATCACTAATGGTACAAATTAATGTTTAAATCTGTTCAGTTGGGAAGTCTATACCTTCTACCTGATGGCAGCAATTCAAACTGAAGAGTGTGGGAGGGGTCATTAGCCACCTTCCTGCCTAATTTTCTCGTAAAAGATTTGCTGCAGTGAAGAAGGTGGAACACAAATTATTTTACCTGCTCTCTTTGTTAATGTAGGGATTTGTTGTTTCAATTAACCTGAAAGGTTGCCATTCTAAGTTAACGTGCCATAACGCAAAATTGATTTTAGACATGCTCTATAAAACATGAGCAATACACTTTTTTCCACTCCATGTAGCTTTAACAAACGTGTCAACATCGCAAACAATAAGAGGCACATTGCTGTAGTTTGCACACAACAGCATGATGCACTCATGCACAATACGTAACTTTCTTCACACAGACAGTAACTTTCTTCACACAGTGTTTAGTATTGCGATAACCATAATATTGCGATATGTTTTTCTTTCACCTAAAATTGCAATCTGCAGTGAAACGCAAGAGACAAATAACAAAAACATTAATGACATTCAAATGCATATATTTATATACCTTTTTGTTTGTTTGTTGTATTTGTGAATGTTGGTTGATGTGTCTGTTTTGTTGTCTTTTATTAACTCATTCATTGCCAGCCATATATTCAGAAGCATCCCTCATACTGCCAGAGATTTTGGATATTTTTTAGTGTTTTTCCAAACCTCATATAAATGTGAGCCCTTGGTTGACACAAGTATGAAACAAGTTTCTACCCCTTTTAGTTTTTAATCAATTGAGAGTATAACATGGGTAACTTTATGCAAAAAAACATTTAGAGGCAGTGAATGAGTTAAAGTTTTTTTTTTATAAAAAAAAAATTCTAAAACTTATCGCTCATATTTTCGATATGGATATGTGCGAAAATATGCGCGATAATTTTTAGAATTGCGGCACCAATATCGCGATAACGATATTTTTTTGATATACCGTGCAGCCCTAACAGACAGTGATGACAACGAGGCAGAATCTGCAACACGGGTCTCAGGATGTTCTGACCATGGATCTGTAATAATATATGAATAGGGCATTCTTAGCTTATAGCTGTCCCACCCATGGGCACAGGGGGCGCCCGCGGTACTGCAGACGAGGGCAACCCAGAATAATGCCCATAGAACTCAATGTAAACTAAAACCGCTCAACCTCAGCTGACAGAGAACCTACAGCATTCACTTCCTTCGGTTTTCTATAAATCCACACTTTAATGCAACAAACTCTGCTGGTTTTCTTCCCACTCTAGCTCCGCTCTGATCAGAAGCTCTGATTGGTCTTGACTATTTGGCGCAAAGCATCATGGGAACTCGTCCACTGCACAGAACCGATGCCCAAATATTGGAAAGTTCCGCTATTCTTTTGGTCCCATGCGCTACTAAGCACAGCCATTGATTTGAATTAGGGCACCATCTTGGATCACCGGGGCTTGGTTCTGACCCGCTCCAAGCATTAGTCAAACTACTACAGTATGTGCACAAGCTTCGATAAAACTTTTTCAGGGGACAAGCCTCAAATATGCAAAACACACAGAAAACAAAACAACCGCCAGAACTGGCAGGCCTAGGGGCAGGATGCGGCGCCATGGTGAGGCTAAGTATTAGCCTCGCTCAGGAGGTTTGGTTGTTAGACTTTTAACCTCAGCTCTGCTGTGGCTGTGTATTCCCATTTCCAACGGGCACTGTCTTGGTCCTGGCTCTTCTGGTCATCGTGGTTTTAGCTTAAATTCCACTCCATTCCACGTTCCACGGGCGGGCACTCCAGCGCGAGAGAGAGACAGTGCAGAGACGAGAGGAGGAGGCCTCTATGATAATAAATACGGAAAAAAATTGGCTCTTTCCTTGGCAGGCCGTTTCGAATGTCCGGCGGCTGGGGACCACTGTCGTAGACTAAATATTGTCCTTTGAAGGCTACCGTAGCTCTAATACTTTTTGTGAACTGCGTGGCACTAGAGAGTTGACTGCAATATATGATCTTTTAATTTTATATTTTTTATTTCAAACCTGCACAATGCTTATTTTTATATATATCATCATGACAGACAAAAAAAACTTCTACCTCTCAACGGTTGATGGGAGAATTTTTTTTCGGAGTGTACCTTTAATAACTCTTTACAACAACCAAAACCTTAGTAGTACTTCAAGCAACAGTAGTAGTGGTATTTGTAGTACTGTAAAAGTAGTAGTTTTTGTAGTACTGTAGAAGTAGTAGTTGTGTTTGTAGTAGTAGTAGTATTTGTAGTACTTACGCGTACATGTGTCACCAGCAGCTCCCTCACAGTGTAACTCTCACTCTCTTCTTCTCTCTTCAGTTCGATGGAGATGTCTCCGTGCACCACAGCGCCATCACTGGGCCAGTACTGGGCACACTTCTCCTGCCCTCTCTCCTCCAGCTCCGTCAGCATCACGATGGAGCAGCTCCTCCACTCCCAGATCATCCTCCAGAAGTCCTCCAGGGTGTGGAGCAGAGGGCCCTGGCTGGCCATGTACGAGTCCTTCTGCCTGTAACCCTGAGGGACCAGAGAACAGAGCAGAGGGTGAGAGGGAGAGAGAACCAGAGAGCAGAGTGCAGGGGGAGAGAGAACCAGAGAGCAGAGAGCAGAGGGTGAGAGAACCAGAGAGCAGAGTGCAGAGGCAGAGAGAACCAGAGAGCAGAGAGCAGAGGGTGAGAGAACCAGAGAGCAGAGTGCAGAGGGAGAGAGAACCAGAGAGCAGAGGGAGAGAGAACCAGAAAGCAGAGTGCAGAGGGTGAGAGAACCAGAGAGCAGAGAGCAGAGGGAGAGAGAACCAGAGAGCAGAGTGCAGAGGGAGAGAGAACCAGAGAGCAGAGTGCAGAGGGTGAGAGAACCAGAGAGCAGAGGGAGAGAGAACCAGAGAGCAGAGTGCAGGGGGAGAGAGAACCAGAGAGCAGAGAGCAGAGGGTGAGAGGGAGAGAGAACCAGAGAGCAGAGAGCAGAGGGTGAGAGGACCAGAGAGCAGAGGGTGAGAGAACCAGAGAGCAGAGTGCAGGGGGAGAGAGAACCAGAGAGCAGAGAGCAGAGGGTGAGAGGGAGAGAGAACCAGAGAGCAGAGAGCAGAGGGTGAGAGAACCAGAGAGCAGAGAGCAGAGGGAGAGAGAACCAGAGAGCAGAGAGCAGAGGGTGAGAGGGAGAGAGAACCAGAGAGCAGAGGGTGAGAGAACCAGAGAGCAGAGTGCAGAGGGTGAGAGAACCAGAGAGCAGAGAGCAGAGGGAGAGAGAACCAGAGAGCAGAGAGCAGAGGGTGAGAGGGAGAGAGAACCAGAGAGCAGAGAGCAGAGGGTGAGAGAACCAGAGAGCAGAGTGCAGAGGGAGAGAGAACCAGAGAGCAGAGAGCAGAGGGAGAGAGAACCAGAGAGCAGAGAGCAGAGGGTGAGAGGGAGAGAGAACAAGAGAGCAGAGGGTAAGAGAACCAGAGAGCAGAGTGCAGAGGGAGAGAGAACCAGAGAGCAGAGAGCAGAGGGTGAGAGAACCAGAGAGCAGTGAGCAGAGGGTGAGAGAACCAGAGAGCAAAGGGTGAGAGGGTACGACCTACAGTCTACACCACATGCTGTGTTTTTAAGTGCTTGTACTCACTGCTGTGTTGTCACTTTAATGTAAAGTGCTTGTACTCACGTCGATGAAGGAGGCGTTGACGTAGTCTGTGTTTTCCTCTCCTCTTTTCACCGGAATGATCACACGGTTGAACTCATCTGCAACAGAGACACTGATCTCAAACTGTGGTCCCTGGTCTTACGGTTCATACATCTGAGAAAAACAAAAGAGCCCAGAAAAGCGAGGACTAGCAGTGCTTAATCTGAACATGGTGATGGCACCTCTACACGCGTGCACAATCAATTTACATCAAAAGTTTCGGCTATATTGCATCTATGCTGGAAATCTGCTCCCGACCTTTTATGTAGACGAACATATATCCCTCTGCGGTAGGTTAAATAGTCATTCTTTGGCAGAGTCTTCTCACTCATGGTTGGTGAAAATAAATATAATAGGCCTATCATTAATTTGGTCTAATGTAGGGCTGTTAAAAAATTTTTTTTTAAAATAAAGTTAATTAACAGTATTAATCTTAATTAATCGCATTGCTAACTATCGGCCGAATGATGCCATATTTTTCTGTAAATGGTTGTTTGAATGGAAAGATAAATGACAACATAGTGTACATATGTACTGTATATGTTTTTTTATAACAACAATAAATCCAAACAAAACGGCATTAACATAATTAACATTCTGTCTTTCTGTTGTGACTCAGACCAAACCATTGTTTGTTACAGATGAGGGACATTTCAAAACAGTCTGAAATGCAGAATGTCATTAGATCTGTTTGATTTGCTCACAACATTTTACTTTTGGGCACAACCAACAGGAACTGGTAGTGGAAGGGAAAAATTAGGTACCCCAGCTTTAATTGCAGCGAGTGCGCTTCGGGAGAAGACACGGAGGAGACTGAGGCTCCATAGTCCAGCTTCAGAGGTGTATTTATTGCATCATGCATACCAGCCGCTGGAGGTGGGAACCGCTGTCCAGAGCGGCCTCAGCTGCCCCGGGGTCAGATCGCTGCAGCCACGGAGGATGCGGACTCCCGTTCAGTGCATACAGCAAACAACAGCAAGTGCCCAGCGGTCACACGCATATTCTTTTTAAACTTGAAGGGTCCGTGTATTATTGGCTTGAATTTTCATTTGTCATTTTGATGAGGAAAAGGAAAAACAAAAAAATTGGTTTGATATTTGATGTTTTGTTTGATGCAGAAAATGAATAAACTAAATATTGAATAATGCTTTCAGGCCCATTGGATTTTGTTTTTTCGATTTGGCGCACCCGTAAGTTGGCCGTGTACCCATAATTTCGTCCCGTTGGAAACAGCAGAATGCAGGCAGCATGCATAGCTAAAGCAACGGAAAGGGACATTGGGCCTCATTCACGAACGGTTCTTAGGAACAGATTTGTACGTAAATCCTACTTACGCGGTTTTTACGAAGAAAGTGGCATTCACGAATATTTCTCGTAACCAGAATTTCTCTTGGGCAAGTACAAATCCTACGAGTCCTCAGGAGCACTCGTACGCATTCAGTGCCGACATGTTCACACGCCGGGGTTGTCCTCTTTGGTGAAGTTGAATAAAAATACAACATTCCAGTGATATGTCCGTCATATCGATGTATGTATTTATTTATTTGTAGTAATCTTTATTAGTAATCTTTATTTATATACCGCCTTTTTCACTGCAGATCTGGCCTACTTTTTAATTCATTTTGAAATGAAATGTGCCAACGCTTTATCAAATACATTGGAAATCTTGCCGTGTATTAGTGACCCCTTCCTATTTATAGGGGGCATTTCTTTATCCACGGGCCACAGAACAACGGCATATATACTGCTGCTGCAGGAGGTTATGGGTCCGCGCTGAGTCTCTGCGCTGGTCTCTCCTATGGATCTATACGGGTCTGCACTGGTCTCTCTCCATACGGGTCCGTGCTGCATGCTCCTGGATCCATACGGGTCCGCGCTGGTCTCTCAAGTCTGGTCTATGCGGTCTATCTTCGGTCCGCGCTGGTCTCTGCGCACCGGTCTCTCCAGTCAGGTCACTCCAGTCTATGCGGTCTCTCCTATAGGTCCGCGCTGGTTTCTGTGTGCTGGACACTCCAGTCTCTCCTCGGGTCTGCATTGGTCTCAGCGCTGGTCCGCGCTGGATCTCCTCCCAGGGTCCAAAATATTTTGAGATTAATCTCAAAACATTTTGAGATTCATCTTTAAAATAATACATAATATATTTTTAAATTAAGCTCATAACATTTTGAGATTAATCTCATCATATTCTTAGATTAATCTCATAATTTTGCTAGTTCGACTTTATTATCATAATATTTCGACTTTTAAGTCAACATTTTATAACTTTATTCTCAGTCTGGTAAAAGAAGAAAAAAGGGAGACTCTTTTGCTCCTTGCTTTAGGCCTGTTGCTGTTTCCTCAGCCGTCTGCACACGGCCCTGCAGCCCCTTATATGGGCATTAGTGGGCGGTTACCTATGCTAAGTACCTATGCTAATGAAGCACCTGGCACGCGCGCTGTACTTACGAGGAAATGGGATTCATCAATCTGAGAGAACAGCTGCGAACAATTCAGCGGCTTACGAGTGCGTTGATGAATCCCACGTGGGGACTTCTTAGAAATCTACTTAAGGACAACTTGAGAAGAAAGTTGAGTAGTTTCTTACGAAGTTATTCGTGAATGAGGCCCATCATACTTATTTTAAGGATTCTTGGACTCATTTTGTGCTGCTCAACTGTATTATCCGGACAGAATCTTTATAATAGACCAGAGACAATAAGTAAAGGATGAACGGTTGTAAATATGTCATTGAGTGCTCATTATACTGCTCATTTATTCTTCATATATCTGTATATGAATGAGTTTGTATGAGTTTATTTATTTAGTGTGTTATACATGTGTTACATGTATATGGCATGGTTCTTTCTTTGTTCTCTGACTCAGGGTTCTCGTAGAATCTTCTGCAGAACCGAATCGCAGCTCCACTGCGGCCTCTTAGAAAATACAAAAATATGGGTGGACAGCCAACTTCCGGTTGCGCCAAATCGAAAAAGCAAAATCAAATCGGCCTGGGTCCGTGTACTTTTGCGTTCAATACATTTTCTATTTTTGAAAGGAAATGGAAAAAAGGCTATTTTGCATTTTCACGCCCCGAAGGGTACACGGATTACCGGCCTGAAACCATTATTTAAGATTTAGTTTTTTCATTTTCTGCATCGAAACGAAACATTAAAAAAATCAGCCAATTATTCTTCTTTTCCTTTTCCTCATCAAAATGAAAAATGAAAATTAATAAATAAACGAATAATTGGCTGATTTTTTTAATGTTTCGTTTTGATGCAGAAAATGAAAAAAATCAGCCAATTATTCGTTTTTCCTTTTCCTCATCAAAATTAAAAATGAAAATTAAATTTCTATTTTAATATGAAAATTAAAATCCCACTGCAAGCACAAAGGCTCATGGGAGATCAAGTTGATGTGAACCATGAGTGAGGCATATACTGTAAATTCCCATACATGCCTAAAGTACTGATTAATCTTATATAAAATCTACAGCACATATCTGAGCATTTGCAGACTACACTCACTGAACCATTTTATATGCTGCGTTCCAGCACCTCTCACATGACAAATTAAGCACTGGAAACCAGAGTGAGAAACCAGCAAAATCAGAGAGAGTGAGAGAGAGACCAGAGAAGTCATGCTCCATAAACTCTCACAGGGGATGATCTGCAGCACACGGTTCTTCTTCATGTTAGCCGGCAGGTTCCCCGTGCGCATCTTATCATTCTGGATCTTTATCGACGTCAGCTTCTGTGAACAACAAAAACAGCATCTGTAAAACACATGATTATCACTAACTGCGTTTAATCCATTTAGAAAGTTTTTATTTGAAACATTTGTGGCACTTGCATTGTGACTTAAGAAAAATTATGAAAAGTGATTAGCCTCTGGTCTCTCTCACTCAAGTCCGGTCTCTCTGGTCTCTCTGGTCTCTCTGGTCTCTCTGGTCTCTCTGGTCTCTCTGGTCTCTCTGGTCTCTCTGGTCTCTCTGGTCTCTCTGGTCTCTCTGGTCTCTCTGGTCTCTCTGGTCTCTCTGGTCTCTCTGGTCTCTCTTTGACCTTAAACTCTGCATCCAGGCCGCTACAGCCCGCACCCGGAGCTGGCGCGTACAGTTTGGACAGATGTGACTCCAGAGACGTGACCTCAAGCTCAGTGTCGCCGTAGAGATAGTGTTCTAAAAGTGCCTGGAAGATGAACACGTACTGCATCTGGAAGAGAAGAGGGCAGCGCCCCTTGTGGTCAGTGTTATAACTACACATGTATAACAGTGGAAACCACTAGGGTTTGGGCTGTGATCTTGATGACCCATGTTGTAAAAATTGTAAACACAAAAACTGATCTGGTTCAGAGCCAGTTCAGAGTCAGCTCAGACCCAGTACTCACGTCTGTCTGAACCATCTGGCACCTCTGGGCCCGGATCCTGGTAACAAATCCGAAGACGTCGACCTTCCGCTCTGACATCATCATGTCCAACATGGCGTCGATCACAATGAAGGTCCCAGTGCGGCCCACACCGGCACTGCAAACACATGTGTCATTGAGCACTTCTCCGAGACAATCCACCCACACCAGTGTGATGTTTGTGTGTGTGTCTCACCTGCAGTGCACCACTATGGGCCCAGCGTACGGTGGGTTGCAGGTCTTCACTTTTTTCAAGAACTTGAGCATTCCAATTGGAGTGAAGGGAACGCCAAAGTCCGGCCATGAAGTGAAGTGGAACTGAGTCAAGAGCCGCTGCGGCTTCTTCCCAGAGACGTCAGCTACCTGCAAGATGATCAGCCCGCTTACAAGTGGACCAGGGATGTTCCTCATCACCACAGACCTGCAGCTGTGTTTAGCTCCATCCTGTGATAACTGGTTTCATGCTGATTTACCTCCTGAATGCTCCTATTCGACTGAGTTACCTGCTGGAGGCAGAACTTGCGGACGGTGTAGTCCACCAACACCGTCATGTCGTCCACAGAGACTCGGATGCTTCCATACGTCCAGCAGCCCTGGTCCGGCCAGTACTGGGCACATTTACACTGTAACACAAACATGTATACTGTAACACAAACATGTATACTGTAACACAAACATGTATACTGTAACTAGGGGTGGGCGATATGGACATAAATAAATATCTCAATATTTTTTTTCCAACTCCCGATAACGATATTGTCACGATATCTTTAAAATCAATCATTTTTACACAAAATGATCTGCAATGTTTTGCTTGCCAGGGCATCTATAGATAGAGACAGTGTCATTCTCTTTATACCACGTTTGTAATACTACTTCATTACGAGCCTCTGTTCACATTTCAGCACTATCATGTCACGTGACCAAGATGTAAGGAGAGAATCCAGTCATCTTTCAAAATAAAGGATCGTTTAGACTTGGATAATAAAAAACAGAAATTCAAACCCGATTCAAATAACACACACATGTACACGGTTACACACACACATGTATACTGAGACACACACACACACACACACACACACACACACATGTCTACAGAGATGCACATGTATACTGTAGCACACACACATGTATACTGTAACCATAGCAGTCTCACCTCTTTTCGTTCCTTCAAGTTTGTCACCATGACAATTGTGGAGGTGTTTTGTTCCCAGATCATTCTCCAGAAGTCGTTCACAGTCTCCTCCTTTGGGCCTGGCACACAACAGGGTTACAAACGCACACGACAAGGTTACATACACACACACACACACCTTGTGCTGCAATGAACTTGTTCTTCTCTTGATAGCCCTGCAACATGAGCCGGTACTACACGTTAATTACAGGTTAATTATAATTGTATGGTAATTCATGCAATAATAAATCCTTTACATTGATGAAGGAGGCATTAATGAAGTCTGAGTCAGGAACTCCCTCTAGCTGAGACAGGTGAACTCTGGAGTGATCATCTGAGGAGGAAAGAGGGGAAACAGAGGAGAGAGGAGAGAGAAAAGAAAGAGAGGGGTTAACATTAACCTAAAAGTTTAGAAAGTACATGACATACTCATCCCCCTGTACCCAGTACTGACAGGGTAGAATGTTAACGTATCTGTTCTTCTCTTTGTTTTCCTCTTTAGATGCAGCGTCACATGACGCCTGGATTGGACACACAGGGAGCGCCTGCAACAGAGACACTTTAGGGAGGACAGGGGTCTGTGTTGTGTGGGGGCATGAGGGGGCAGGGGATTGTGGGGGGCATAACAGGGTGGTGGGGGGGGCCAGTGACATACATTGAACTCCTCCCTGAATAGCTTGTTGTCGTCAGCCATGCGGCGGTTCATTTCCTCCTCCAATTTGTCCACAGGAAGAGGCGGGTACTTCCTGTTGGTGCTGGGCGAACGAGCCAATAGCGGAACACTCTGCAACTCTGCGACGACAACAGAAACAAAATGGACTGAAGAGCTCTGCAGACGCTCTTCAGTCCAAGTGTAGTGTATGGTCCTGGAGCAGACCCGGTTCTGTTCAAGCAACTTTTATTCTAAGAAAACATTCAAATGCACAGTTATCCATTCTCACAGACGTAGCCCTTCCCACAGTCACCCCACAGACCAGGAGTTTACGTTCTACTGTGACTGGATACAAGTGCTGACGTGACCGCAGATGAGTATGTACCGGTGTTTCCTACATCCAAGTCCAAAACGCACAACCGCTGCGTTGTTGTGGTGGTCCCAGCAGTTAGCCCCGCCCACATTCGCTCCCAGAGTTAACCGCACTAAGGTCTGAGGTCACGGGTTGTGGTCGTGTGTGAGAAAGGAAAGTCCGGCAGAGCAGCTATAGCGTCTCACCCGTGTCCTCCGAGCGCCCGCTGGTCATTCTGAAGGACGACGAGTGACTCCCAGCCTGTTTGTACTTCTTAAACCTGCAACACACCAGAGTAAGACACACACACAGACAGACAGACAGACAGACAGACAGACTAACCGAAGCATGTAGAGGATGATTATAATGAAGATGAGCACGAGCAGAGACGACAGCGCCACCATCACTACGATGATCGGCATTTCCTCCGACGACTCTTCATCTGCAAAAACACAACCCGGGTTCAAGGAGAGAGACCAGAGTGAGAGACCACTGTGAGAGACCAGAGTGAGAGACCACTGTGAGAGACCACTGTGAGAGACCACTGTGAGAGACCACTGTGAGAGACCACTGTGAGAGACCACTGTGAGAGACCACTGTGAGAGACCAGAGTGAGAGACCACTGTGAGAGAGACTTGAGAGACAGACCAGGGGATCAACGTCTCGTTACGCTGTCATTATGCAAAGTAGCCGTCTTCCTCATAAACACACACTTTGACCCGTGCAGTCTCCAGGGTGCTCTGCTTTACGTTAATATTTTGCAGTTTGAACAAAAAATAACTCAGCTCAGTAGATTTAGGTCTGAGGGTTTAAAGAACATGTCACCAGCGAGTAAAAGGAAGTAGATGGAGTTGGAAGTTCACTTCATCCAACCCCTTAGCAAACCTCGTAAATCTGTGTCGACGTGCACTGGTTCAGAGTTTCAATGCAGTCAATGATGTACATCATGTTGCGGCAAATAGGTTTGTCCGGTGCGTTAGATGCGTTGTTGCAGTGCATCAGAGGTGGTAGGAACAGCGACTTGATGCATCCGGAGAACGCAGGAGAGATTTTTTAACTTTTTTTGCCGGCTTATTTTGCCGGAGAAGCAAAGTGGCCACGAGGACAAAAGCAAGAAGCAAGAAGCAAGAGCAAGCAGATGAAGACACAAACAAGAGCTAAACCAGGATTAATCAAGGACTAAACAAAGGTTAGACCAGGGCTGACAATGTGGGACACATATGTGAGTATATGCCTCCAGCCTGAGTTCTCATTCTCCTGTGACTGTATAAAAGTGCTGCTAATGTGTGCGATATGAAAGTACTGCTTAATAATATAATACACCCATGGCGCAGCTCCTTAAGCAGATACTATTGTAATGTGACGTCTCTGGAGGGTACACAGAGACGCCACGGAGCCGCGCTGGTTGAGGAGAAGATTCAGATTCAGATTCATCTTATTTGCCATTTGAAAAAGTCTTCAGGTGTGCACAAGACAAGTACACAAATAAAACAAGGTTAAAAGTACAGGAATGAAACAAGTAAAAAAGTGCAGGAAACAACTGATAGAGTGAAATTGATCAACTTAATTCAAAAAGCTGTTAGCTTAAACCCATTAGCATCAAATCATGCCCACCACTTCCGCCCAGCATTTTGGCCTCACAGGGCACGACGTATGCCAGATTGACTAAACCCATGTGGCTGATGTTTAGTAAATGCGCGTCAATGCCTCCATTGACGAATGGGCAGCGTTAACGCAGCTTAACCCGGTTCACTATCACGCCCTCTGGCGTGGAAAAGTGGAGAGGGCGGTTCATTATCCCCTCTTAATCCTTTGAATATTGTTTTTTAGTGCAACTCACCAAATATATTCCTAATTTTCACCATATGTACTCACCATATACAAAAGACATATACAAAATTAATCAAGATGCATCATAATCAGGTGAATATTGAATCAAATCATATTGTTTGTTGTAGCTGAAGTAAAAAAAAGGCTCCAAGGGGCCTGCAGGGAGTTTGTGTTTTTGCTCAAACTCATGAAAAATTAGCGGAAACATTGCAGGGGCTTCTACTAGTAAAAGTTACCATTTCAAAAGTCAAAAGAAAACGTTAGTATCCCTCTCCAATCTCTACGTTCCCTTGCTGGTCGCTCCATGTCTCTCTCGGGTCCCTCTCTGGTGAGGGATTTTACTACTTCAAGCATGTCACTTACTGTGTGTTATTTGTAGAATGTAACCATGCAACCTAAAAACAGCTTTGACCTGAGGAGTGGCCTGACCTCTAACCTTGGGGGATAACTGACCTCGGCGGTGGACTGACCTTGAGGGGTGGAGCGGGAGGTGGGGTCCGGCTCGGTGGTTGTCTCAGTCTCCACATCATACTCGTCACCCGGGTCGTCAGTGGGCGTGGTCTCAGTGGGTGTGGCTGCAGGGTTGTCAGGATGTGGGGCTGAGGTGTCGTCAGGGGGCGTGACTGAGTCGTCAGGGGGCAGGGCTGAGGGCTCGTGAGTGGGCAGACCAGAGGGGTCCTGGGGGGGAGGGTCTGGAGTTGAAGCAGGTACGACTGTTGGCATGGCTTCCTCTGGGGGGGCAGGGCTTCCTGTAGGGGGAGGTGCCACTGGGACAAGTGTGGGCGGGTCCTGGGGAGAGGGAGTGGGTGGAGCTGTTGTGATGGGGGGCGTGACCAGAGAGGGTGATGTGGGCGGGGCTGTAGATGTGGGAGGGGCCAGAGGGGCATCAGTGAGAGAGGGGGGGTCAGGGGGGGTGAGCGAAGGCCCTGTGGAGGACAAGAGCAATGACATCACAAACCAGTCAACCCGATACAACCATTTATATATCTTTAAAGGTATTAGATTCCTGATTATGCTCTCACCTGGGTCTGGGTCCTGGTCTACTGCTCTGGTCTCACCTGGGTCTGGGTCCTAGTCTATAGCTCCTGTCTCATCTGGGTCTGGGTCCTGGTCTACAGCTCTGGTCTAGTCTGGGTGTGGGTCTTGGTCTACAGCTCTGGTCTAGTCTGGGTGTGGGTCCTGGTCTACAGCTCTGGTCTTGTCTGAGTGTAGGTCCTGGTCTATAGCTCTGGTCTCGTCTCGGTGTGGGTCCTGGTCTACAGCTCTGGTCTCACCTGGGTCCTGGTCCTGAGCCGTAGCCCCCATGAGCAGCAGGAGGAGGAGGGGGAGGGCACCCATCCTGAGGCACAAATAGATGCTTGTTGGATTGTGAAGTAAATCTCTGCAGTGACCACTCAAAACGCAAACTGTGTATGTATGTTTCTGTATGTGTCGTTATGTGTGTGTCTCTGCGTGTGTGTGTCTGTCTTTCTTTTTGAAACCCCACACACCTCTGGTGGTTTCTGGTGGAGCATTTAGCTCACCCTTCTACACCGTGGAATCATCTCCCCATCCACATCAAGGAAGCAGACACAGTCTCTACTTTTAAGGATAAGCCTAAAATAGTCCTTTTTGATTCAGCGAACGATTAGGTTGGTAAGACTTAGGTAAGATGAAGAAAATAATTATAATAGTGCATTGGCTTTATATAGCACCTTTTTGGACACTCAAAGACACTTTACATGTCGTCATTATTCTTTCACACCATACACGATGGTGATAAACTACTACTGTAGCCACAGCTGCCTGGGGCACAGACAGAAGTGCAGCAACCAGTATGTGGCGACGGCCCCTCCGACTACCACTAACCATTTACAGTCACACCAGACTCATTCTAGGCAAAGTGGATAAAGTGTCTTGCCTAAGGACACAACAACATTTTGACACTTTACAGCCGCCCAGGTCACCCATTACAATATTAACCTGACCCTGCATGTTTTAAACATAGATTGTCAGTCAACCTGCATATGGAGACCTTTTGATGGGAGAAGAATAGTAACTTGAGTATCATCCTCTTCTCTTCCTACTTTATCTGCCATCGTTGCAGTCACTGCAGTCTGTTTATTGCCATTCACCTGCTGCCCCATTGTCTGTTTCATGGCGTGATGTTGGGCCCCCTCTTTCATCTGCACCTGTGAACTGTCCTCCCTAGCCAAGCCTTGTGGGCTGTACCCCCTCCATGCCTGGGAGCCGCATCAGTCCTGCACCACAACCTGTGTCCTAGCTCTACGACCTGAGCCTTGGATCTGTAGCCAAGACTCAGGCTGTAGGCCCGATGGATCTATAGGAGCGGCCTCCTTGAGATTTCTCACTTTTTGTCCTCTGTTTTTTTTGTTAGTTGTTCCTTACTGCTGCAGAAGTGTCTAAAGACAACGGTATTGATCCAGTACCTTTATGGACTTTAATGGACATTGGTCATTTGCCCCTTATCGACCAAGGAACAGTTAAATTCTCTGATCTATATTGGCAAATCGACAACTTTGTGATGTCCTCTGAGATAACTACTGTTGTGACTTAAATTTATTGAATTGTGTAAGTCTGTGTGTGTCTTTGTGTGTGTCTCACCTGAGCAGGACTGGTCTCACTCAGTCATTCGCTCTCACTGATCCTGCAACAGAGACAACATTTTAAACTCAGGACCTCCCCCTCGTCAGGACCTCCCCCTCGTCAGGACCTCCCCCTCGTCAGGACCTCCCCCTCGTCAGGACCTCCCCCCCGTCATGATCTCTCCCCCGTCATGATCTCTCCCCCGTCATGATCTCTCCCTCGTCATGGTCTCTCCCCCGTCATGGTCTCTCCCTCGTCATGGTCTCTCCCTCGTCAAGACCTTCGGCAATCATCGCACTACAGTGGGTAGTTATTCTGATCAATAACTACCCTCTAGGAAGAGACAGTATAAAGTTTGTGGATGGCTAAAGGTCTGAAGGCCACATACAAACGTGAATAGGGCAGTTTTTGGCCCCGGGCCTCACTTTTCCCAGGTCTGCTATTTAATACTATAAAGCTGAGGTACGTAACTTAAGTCTCATAAATAGCACTCGTTTAAAGCAGGGAAACGTACATTGAGTCTCATAAATAACACATGTTTGAAGGCGGGATAGGTAACTTTAGTCTCATAAATAACATGCAGTTCTTTAAGTAAAATGTTGTTAACAAATCAGACCACAACAAACTGCCCCATGAGTCCTTATTTTATACTTTAGGTTGAGAGCTTTTTGGCTGAGTGAGGTTGGTCTTTTTTTCATTCTTCAAAAAGCTGACCTAAGTATGTGACAGAGGCCAAAACTACAATATGTGAAAACTAGTGATAGAAGCAATTGTTTTAGAGCCACAAACTAGACATGGGTTTATTAGATTGGTGTGATCTAAAGTTATGTACCCCAGATTTAAAGTTACATACCCCAGTTTTAATCTCCTTCTGCTGTATTCAGGGGTCCCACTCAAAGCAGCACAAAACAAAACCAGACTCAGTTTTGGTCCAGGTCCAATGAGACCCCTCCCTTTGAGGGGACTTCCACTGGTCCCAAAAGCAGGTTCAGGGTTTACATGCTGCAGAAGTGTGTTGTTTGGATCTGTGTCAGCTTCTAACCATGCAGAGGACAGGGGTGTGCCAAATGAAAGTCACAAAGAAAGTACCCATACCAGAGGAGAGACAGAAAGACCAGAGAGAGGAATAAAGTGACCAGTGAAAAAGACAAGAGAAAGACCAGCGAGAGAGACCAGTGAGAGAGACCAGAGTGTTCACACTGAGCAGGCCTCGGCAAAAAGCGATTGGGTCGAAGGAGGGTTATAGACCTAGTCGTTCTGTCACTTCAGCCCGTGTCACAGTCAAAGCGCTGTTTTGACTGTGTTTACATATAGCGTTAGCCTTTGCCCGGACCCGGAAGTGCGCACAGTCTCATTGCACTGTTTTAACCGTTACCATGGAGACATTTAGAACAGGGGACGTACAGCCTCCAGAAAGTTACGCACCTTAGCTTTAATGGATTTGACAGGGATAGTAACATCAGTACTCTGAGCAGCACTTTTTCCGTATACTTTTACTTCATCAGCATTCAGACCCGTGACCTCAGAAACGGAGCCGGACCTGAACTCAACGCGCGTGCACGTATATCCCGGTGAGCGTGCGTGTGTCTCACCCTCTCCGCCGCGCGTGGCTGCCTCCCGGGTCGTGTCCGTGGGTCGTGTCCGTGGGTCGTGTCCGTGGGTCGTGTCCAGGAGAGGCCTGTGTTCCCCGGGCTCCACACCCACAGTGAGGAGGGGGGTCTGGCTCTGAGGATAGCGGTGGGGCGGTCCGCTCGTGACGGCGCCCGTGTCTCCGTGTCCCCGTGTCTCTGTGTCCTCGTATCCAAGTCGCCGTGTCTCCGTGTCCCCGCTCCTGGATCAAAACCCACGGAGAACAGCTCTGCGCTCATCCGCCATGTTGTGAGGAGACCGCTAGGGTGCCAGGTCCACAGCAGTCATCCGCGAGCGAGCCCACACAACGGTTAAACCCGCAAGCGGCATTAGGTGCCCCATTGTATTTTGTTATTATTTGGATGAGACATTGTGTTTTAATGAACTATGTAGCTAATTTCCATCTGTCCCACAGCTGCGCTCACAAACACACACTCATTCAACCCTCACCTATTGTACATATTTTGAGAGAAAGGGGAAACTGGAGCACCCGAAAGAAACCTATGAAGACACAGGGAGAACGGGCAAACACCACCACAGGTGGAGGTGGAATCAAACCTTCTTGCTGTGAAGCACCAGTGCTAACCAATCAGCCACCGTGCCCTGTGTCTGTAACTTTTTATTTGATCAATTGTAATTTACAGGAACTTAACAAGAAAAACACAATAATCTTCATGCATAGTATGAACCCCAGTGTTACTTTTTTTCTTTATCACAGAGCAAATATGAGAATGGACTTCACCATTCGAATTATGGGGCTTTCATACGGCCAACGCTGAAACGCTGAAGCCCCGCTCACCAGACGCGCATTCTCTAGTTTTCAGACGCAGGGGTCTTCACACCAGAACGTCCTGACGCGAGCCGGAAGTACCGGAAGTAGCCGGCCGGCTCTGATGCTAACAGAGCTATGCTAGCGGCTTCTTGTGTACAGATCTTCTCCAATATGCAGCTTTGCCGAGTGTCTTTGCTCACAGACATTCCACAGGCTTTATATAACAGCAGTATGTGTTCACGGAGGTGCGCCATAAGTTTTTCCATATTAATAAACACACTCGACGAACACACTCGAAGCAGTTGCATAAGGTCACGGGAGCATGACAACGCATATTTCCCCCATTGTCAACCCTGGTTTGAGTTCTGGTGAAGCCTGGTGTGGGTCCTGTTTTGGCTGTTTATGAGTATTTTCAGTCTGCTCGCTCAGTCCGCTAATGTCCCCGTGACCACTTTGCGGCTCTTTGATTGGTTGTCGCACGAACGTCGCAAGGAAAGGATGAGCAGAATCCATCTCCTGTGGGCGTCGATTTTTCGCTCCCTTTTCACTTTCACCGCCAAGTCCGTGCTTCTCTACTGAACAGTCCGTTCGTGCGAACCGAGCGGTCTGTGCGTTGCGACGGCCGAACGCGCATAGACTTTGCATTGAAACCCGACGCAACGCATGATCCGGTCTGAAAGCACCATTAAAGGTTCTGTTTATCGCTTCTCTTAATTTTTCAGTCCTTCCTAAGCAGATGTATGATCATTTGGATGATACACCACACAACACTCAACACTTGTAAATTCATAGCCATTTCATGCATATATAGAGGTTATGTCACCTCATGTGAAACGCTTGGATTTGTGCTCCTATGCCTGTGAACCTGCCTCCCCTCTTCCGCACAGCGACACAGGCCCCGTCCCAATACTCGCACTTCCACCCTTGCGCCCCTCATTTGCGCGTTCCCGATAAAGGGTGCGAGTGCGTAGGGTGTCCCAATTCTCCAGGGAGGTCTTTGGCCCCGCCCCCTTTGCGCCCCTGATCCACACTTCGCCGTAGCCTGCATCTATGCGCACTCTGTTGAAGGATATTGCCCATAATTCTTTGCGGTACACACCAAAACATCGGGAAAATGCATTTATATATAAATTTTGAAATATATATGCAGTATGTGTGTAAATAAGTTTTGCTATGTTACTTGGAAAGAAGCATAAACGGACATTGTGTTTTAACAATTTAATAACTTTTCAAAACAAGCGTTCATATAACATTCAATTTAAACTTTACACTTAGTACAATAATCTTAGAATGTATAAAAACTGACCAGATAGTTAGTTACCCACATTTAACTTAAAATTATACAGCTATCTCTAATTAAAAACAACTAATATACATGTATTTTAACGTGTGTGAAGCAATTCATTTTGTTTCCCAAAGGGTCAGACAAGATTACCTTTAATGTTTATAAAGTTTAGGTCTGAAAATGACCATCTCTTGACGAGTCGATGACGTAACCTGCACTCAGTGTGCACTGTCCCAATTCCGCCTTTTTTGCACACTGGTAACCTGCGCACTCCAACCCTGGTGTGCACTTCGAACAAATGCACACTTCGTAGAAGAGTGTAGGGTGCAGTGTGGGTATTGGGACTGGGCCGTAGCCTCTCGCTAAGTTCGAGGTAAACAAATCAGCGAAAGCCAACTATACAGCTTTTACTGTTAGTCATTTCAGACCTAAGAATAAACTTTTTCCAACAATGGCAATCTGTCAAATAGCGCCGTATGTCCTTGATCCAGAATCAGACCCTAATTATTTAGTTCATAGTGATATACGGCGAGTTAGTTGCATTGTACTCACAGACCGAGGCTCCCTGTAAGCGTCTTTTATGTTGGGATAACTGAGATTTCATAACACTTTTAAGCAACTTTTGTTAAAGTTAAACTCATCATTCTATCAATGTGCAGAAGCCAGTACTTTTACCCTTGTTTTGTCAATCTGAAGGCCAAACTACATGGCACTGTGGCAGCTGCTGATTGGAGGTCTCCATGCCTCCGCTCTGTATAATACACTTGCATTCTGTTGTTCGTGTTGTTCGTGCTGTCTCTACCGACAATAAAACATGTCTTCTGTCTGAATTAAACATGCGATCCCAGACTTTGTCATCTTCTTCAGGTGGTGGAAGGATGCGGGCCTTGTCTGTAACATCTAGAGAACAGAAGACTACTTTTTTTTTTTTTTTAAAGCCAAAATTGAGAAACCTCAAGAGAAACCCTGCATCTGGACCAGCCTATGGACTATCTGCACAGCCCCTGATTCCAGTCAGGCTGTGAGCTGCTGAGACATGGATAATACCATCGTCCTCTTTTGGATGGACATAATTTGGAACAATTGGATTACATAATTTGGACATAATTTTGACCAATTGGATTTCTGAATTTGGACATAATTTGGACTGAATTGGATTTCTGAATCTGGACACTGAAGCTGAAATGTGTGATTGAAAGACACGTCACAGAAGAATTCACTGCTATGGCTCGACACAAATGCAGCCTGAAGAAATCAACACGGAGAAGTGGGAGAGACTGTTTTCAAAGCAATATCTGGAACCACCATCGACTGATGAAGTTTGGTATTTTACTGAAGATTGTTGACAAGTTTTATGAAAGACCTGAACATGTTTTATGAGTTTTTGAAGTATTCCGAGTTCTGAGTTTTTTGTACCGAGTGAAGTACCGAGTTTAAGTATTGAGTTATGATGTTATGTTGCTGTTTATCGATCCTGATGGTCACACGTGAATGTGTGACCAGAGGGGGGAATGTGAGATTTCATAACACTTTTAAGCAACTTTTGTTAAAGTTAAACTCATCATTCTATCAATGTGCAGAAGCCAGTACTTTTCCCTTGTTTTGTCAATCTGAAGGCCAAGCTACATGGCACCGTGGAAGCTGCTGATTGGAGGTCTCCATGCCTCCGCTCTGTATAATACACTTGCATTCTGTTGTTTGTGTTGTTCGTGCGTCTCTACCATCGACAATAAAACATGTCTTCTGTCTGAATTAAACACGCGATCCCAGACTTTGTCATCTTCTTCATAACAAATCAGCTTTTTATTAGGTCCTGTAATAGCAGTTCTGGAATAGTCTTTGGTGAAATGTAATCATCACTCGCCAAAAGAAAATATCTGCGAGTCTGAAGCAGATCCCTGTGAACAAAGTCGATCCCCATTCGCCTCATTCTCCATCTTTGGGCCAAATACAGTCGTCACATATTTACACGCAAAAACACATTTTCTTCACGTTGACATGATGCAAATACAAAAAAGCAAATTTACTGTCTATGGACCACAGGTTGTACTCAGAGAGGCTGCAGCTGATCATAGACGGCACTGATTTGTTGGTTCAGTTTCTCCCTGCTGTCAATAATCTCTTGGAGGCGGGCTTTTGACGTCAGGGATTGGTGGATGTCAAAATTTGAAACAACTAATTTCTGTGCCTTTTGAAAATGAGAAAGATCGCTCTCTAACTAAAGCTTGAGGGAATTAATGAAAAAACTACTCTGGGCATGTGTAAGAAGGCCAAATAGCACTGTAATCATGTTTAAACCAGAGAAAAGTCAAAAAGCGTAATATGGGACCTTTAAGGAAGATGATTTGAGCATAAGCGAGCTGCAGCTAATTTCCTTATATGGGCACTTCTTCTGATGGCGTATAGCTTCTTGCCGTAAAAGGACACACATATTGCTTTCTTTCTGATCCTCACACCGTAAAGTGGGACATTTATTTTGACACAGATCCAAACAACTGCTTCATGAAGGGTGGCTTTACAGAATCAGTGAAAGTGTAGGCACAAAGGTGCTTAAAGTAGCGGACCTGGCAACCGTGGAGAGCGCATTCCCGTCAGGCCTGAGCGCGTCCCTCACCCACGGCGCCTCTGGAGGGGAACCCGGAAACTACAGGGAACGACCCACTGCGCCATCTCGTGTTCAGACTGCCGTACTTCACTTTCGTCTCAGTAATAACATTACGTCCCAAATGAAGTACAGATCAGCCCACAACATGCGGTCGGTTGTGTAACAAGTTACGTACCTGGGATTTAATAACGGTGAAGAATAGTGTACATTTACTTTATTAAATTCCAACACTTTACAATCTTTAAATATGATGGTATATTTTTTAAATATTCTTTGTGCGTACAAGTGTGTGAAAGACAGGGAACAAGTGTGTGTGTGTGTGTGTGAGAGAGTGTTTGTCAGAGCTGTAGAACTTTAAAGCTGAGCAATCACGGCTCTGGTGAAGTCGTCGCTGGTTGCGTATCCTCCTAAGTCTCCTGTACGAACCTGGAAAGAGAACAACAGTTCCACAAAACATTGTCTGTGTGAGGTCTGAGATCTGTGTGACATTCACTTCAATTGTTGTTACTTTGTTAAGAGAAGAGCACATAAAAGGACACAGCACACAACATACACACAGATAGAACTTTTGTCTCTCTCTCTGGTCTCGCTCTAGTCACTGTGTGTGTGTGTGTGTGTGTGTGCGTGCGTGTGCGTGCGTGCGTGCGTGCGTGCGTGCATGGTGTGAATAGTGAGCTTGTAAAATGTTATTTTCATGCAGGTGTTTTCAAACATGATCCAACTCCATTAGTTCAAACACTTTAATTAAACACGAAGTTATAAATATGAAGCAGGTCTTTGGTTTTAAACAGTTTCATCACCGCAGACTGTGAAATGAACGGCAACCCTCCAGTAACGACCCAGCAACTGATTTAGGGTTATAATATAAATATACTTTAAAGTATGTTGGAGCACATTTAAGCTGGGATCTCTGGTCTCTCTCTCTGGCCTCTCTCTCAGGTCTATGTAAACCTAGCTTTCCCCTGTGCTCTTAAACGCACCAGCTAGCCTTGTCTCAATAGGATCCACTTTATGCGGTATCTAAATCGGACAAGGAGAGAGAGATCCGGTTTCACTAGTACTTTGGAATTGTCCTCGGTGTGTGGAATGACTTGGGGGAGGGAACAGAACAAAAGGGGAGGGTCCACAGAGGTTAGAGGTCTTCAGTAGGCCGGACGATGTCGCAGGTTCTCGCACACCGCTCTCACAAAGTCTCCTGTGGTCGAGTAACCACCCAGATCACGAGTCTTAACCTGGGACCAGGGGATAGGGTGGGGGGACAGGTGAAGGGGGAACAGGCAGGATCACATGTTACAAATCAAAACAGTTTAAAATGCTGAGTTACAGGACAGGGTTAGGAACTGTCCCGTAATGAGGCATTTTAAAACTGACCACGAAGGACGTACACATGCAGGAAACAGACCAGGGTTAGAGTCCAGTCAGGGTCTACGTCTTGGTCTAGTTTGTTCTAATCAGACAGGAGAGCATTAGGGCTACTCATTCAAATCTCTCTGGTCTGTCCCTCTGCTCACTCTTCTTGTCTGATTAGAAGAAAAGTTTATGACAGAAAACAAAATGATGTGAGAAATGAGGAGTGATGCGAGTCAGCTCTGCGGACGGGCGAGCTGTCAGACAGTGATGGACTTGAGAACAGAGTTTAAAAGCGAGGAGATCAGAGCGAGGAAGACGAAATCCAGATGGAGGACAGGACCATGATTATGTATGCTGTTAATATTTCTGTTCAGTTATGAATTGTTAGTATAAATATTATATTTATAAGTATATATTAGTATAAGTTCCAGACGCAGACATACGAGCCAGGGTCCAGCCCTCCTCAGAGTTACTGCTACTACTACAACTTCTGCTACTACTACGTGAAACTGGGAAAACTGAACCACATTGTTAGTTAGACACACACACACACACACACACACACAGACAGACAGACACTGACCTTCCCCTGTTTGATGACCCTCCTCACAGCATCTGTCACCATCTGAGAATGAAACTCCAGACTGAGGAGAGAGAAGGAAAGGTATGAGGTTTGGAATCTGGTCTGGTCTGGTCTCCCTCTCTGCTTTGGTCTCCGGTCAGATTAACGGGACCGGACTCGGGCCCGGAACCGGACCCGGGACCGGAACTGGGACTCACTTGAGGTGACGTAGCATGTTAGCAGCACTCAGTAACATGGCGGTGGGGTTGGCGATGTTCCGACCGACAGCCTGAGCGAACGGATGTCTGGCCCCCTGCAGGAAAGATACAGTACTGCAGTGAGAGGGAACAGAAAGAGAGACCAGAGAGAAAGACCAGAGAGAGACCAGAGAGAGAGACCAGAAGGAGACACTACAACCTCTTTCCCTCGTCTCTCTCACTCACCGTCTCAAACACGGCGTACTCAGCGCTGTAGCTCTCACCGGGCACCACGCCGGCTCCGCCCACCAGACCGGCAGCCAGATTATCAATGATGTTGCCGTACAGGTTAGGCATCACCAACACATCGAACTGGTACGGGTTCTGCACAAGCTGTGGAGGAGTCAGTGGTCAGAGGTCACGCCCCCAGTGGTGAGGGGCGGGGCTACACTCACTTGCATGCAGCAGTTGTCGATGATGATGTTTTCATATTTGATTTTGGGATAAAGCTGTGCAATTTCTGCACAACACTGAAGGAACAGACCATCAGCCAGCTTCCTGTAACACACAAGTACACACAGTCAAACACTGGAGTAGTAGCAGCTGTAGCAACAACAGTAGTAGCAACAGAATCATTACTCACATGATGTTGGCCTTGTGGACAGCGGTCACTTTACTGCGTCCTTTTTTTGTTGCGTAGTCGAAGGCGAACTTTGCGATGCGTCGAGACTTTTCTCTGGTGATGATCTTCAGGCACTCGACCACTCCACTGACCGACTGAAACACAGCCTTCATCTGAGCCGAAATGTCTGTCATCTGAGCCAGAATGCCTGTTCATCTATATAGCCTCTCTCTGCTCCCTCCCTCCGACCTGGTTGGGTCTCTCTCTGGTCCGTCTCTCTCTGGTCCGTCTCTCTCTGGTCCGTCTCTCTCTGGTCCGTCTCTCTCTGGTCCGTCTCTCTCTGGTCCGTCTCTCTCTGGTCCGTCTCTCTCTGGTCCGTCTCTCTCTGGTCTCTCTCTCTCTCTCTTTCTCTGGTTCCTCTCTCTCTAGTCTCTCTCTCTTTGGTCCCTCTCTCTGGTCTCTCATACCTCATGCTCCAGGGAGCTGTACTCTCCCTCTGTCTGCTCCCGGATGATCACCAGGTCCAGGTTGTTGTGTCGTGTAGAATATCCGGGCAGACTGTTCACGTGCACTACGTTCGCAAACAGGTCTAGCTTCCTCCTGCACAGTCAAACATATATAATTATATAGAGTAGGGCTGGGCAATATTGAGAAAAATATAGATCTCAATATATTACACAATATATTTCTCGACATTTTTAAAGTATAAATAACCCCCACAAAAACTACTGCAAAAAAAAAAGTTTAATTCTTTTTTAATTGTTCAATTGTTTATATATATATATATATATATTTTATATATATTGTTTATAGTTCAAGTAGGAACAAAGTGCTACAAACAAAATGTTAACTGTGAAATAAATGAAAAAATGATACACGTTGCTTTCTCTTCATTCTAAAATATAACAACTCCACTCAAGGCAGTGCAAATAGGAACAAAGTGCTTCTGCAACATTTAAGATAAAACAAAAATCCTGATTACATAGATGGTACGTGACCAAGGAGGCAGGGCGAATGCAGCACAGAGAAGGCAAACGAGCAAAGCGGTGAAAGTGAAATATAAACATATTGATTTATAAGATATGTCAAAATTCATATAGAGTTTAAGGAATATCTTGACATCGTAATTATTGATATATCGCTCACCCCTAATCTAGAGTAAGTACGTAGTAAACCGCACACACACACCTGAGACGCATCTCGTATGACGCCAGCTCTCCTTTGAACTCCATAGGCGTGTGGATTTTTCCTACAGCAAAACAGCAAATATTATCAGCAAACGGCAATGGTCGCCCACTCCGCTCTGACCGAGGGCCTCTAGTCTGTATCTGTGATCAGTGTTGTCTTTTATGAGCAGTGAGTTCGATCGTTAGCCTCTGACGTGTTAGCTACAGTACCCTGGTTAGCCTCTGGAGGCTGTTGATGCTAGCTGCAGTACCCTTGTTAGCCTCTGGGGTGTTACCTGCAGTACTCTTGTTAGCCTCTGGGGGTGCTAGCTGCAATACCTTTGATGGCCACACGGTTACTCTTCATGGAGGTCAGCACTTGGTCCAGTTTGTCCTCTGAGGCCATGTTCTGCACCTCACTGAGATGGAATTCCTCAAACTCCACAGGGATATCCCCGGCCTGCAAACAACCCAAATGTAAGTCACAAGTACCCCCAATGTAAGACAAAACCACCCAAATATATATGAGTTATCACATGACCAACCACCCCAATGCAAGAGTTATCACATGACCCAACCAACCCCAATAGCATAAGGTGAATGTGTCATGTGAGCTACAGTAAGGCAAAAAAGTATTTAGTCAGCCACCGATTGTGCAAGTTCTCCCATTGACTGACATGCACTTCAGACTTTTTTCAAATGTCCCTTTCTCATCCCTGTAACAAACAATAGTTTGTAGAGGCACAATAATGAAGAGGATCCACAGCATTTATGAGACAGAGAAAAAGAATAAAGAGCAGGCTTTAGCAGATGTGGAATTTGTCGAGCTGAAAAAAATAGTGTCTACTACAGAAAGACAGAATGTTAATGATGTTAATGCCATTTTATGTGGATTTATTGTTATAATAGACAAATACAGTACATATGTTCACTATGTCATCATTTATCTTTCCATTCAAACAACCATTTTCAGAAAAATATTTCCTCATTTTGCCAATAGTTTGAAATGCAATTAATTACGATTAATTAATTTTTAAGCTGTAATTAACTCGATAATTTTTTTTTATCGTTTGACAGCCCTATTAATAACGTATGTTAAATTCTGTATTTTAACAAATTGTTTCCTTCCTGTTAGGTAAGTTTCCAGTCAATATAGAGTTTGTGGTGACAGGTGAAAATATATCAGTTTTTTATTCAACATTTGGGCTCTTGGCCTAACACTACGTTCCAGATGTGTGTCAATGCCGAGTATTTTCTTTTGGACCAGCCTAGTTTTGCGACAGTGGACTTTTGAATGCACTCGTTAAATGAATGGGGCAAATGCAGTTTTTTACATTTTCCCGCCCCGCAGTGGTGGCACATTAGTTTCAACGGCGGAGATAGGCGTGACTACGTCCAATAATATTTACAGCCCATGTTTGGGACATGCCCAAAACACCTTCCCATGTCCAGGACGCATCTCAAACAGATATCCAAGCCACCTCAACTGGCTCCTCTCTTCCTGGAGGAGCAGCTGGCCTACTCTTCCTGTGTGACTGAGCTCCTCATCCTATCTCTAAGGGAATTCTGTAGTGTGTGTGAGATCTCTCACCTTGAAGACCTCCTTGACCGCGGTCATCAGCTCGGGTCCCACCCCGTCCCCTGGGACCATGGTCACTTTGAAGGTGGCATCAGCCCGAGGCGGTGAGTCCACAGAGAGAGGACGGGAGAGGAAGAGCGGCCAGCGGGGGGCGCCACTGAGAGCCTGCCATACAGACACAGTAAGGGTACTTTACAATCTAGGCTAGGGAAATGTGACCGGTCTTGGACTGGGGCCTCTGGCAGGTCACCGCCTGGGACTTTTGACCTACGCTGCTATGTGCTTAACATGGATATACATACAAATCCATACAGACATTCCTCAAAGGCTGGGGTACATAAGCTTAAGACCACACGAATAGAATTCTGAAATAAAATCCATGTCATTAGTTCCAAGCTCTACAACAGCTTGCACTTGATCTTGGTGTCTCTCAGCCCAAATAAGGCTCTTTTCTAATAAGATGAAGACAGCATGTGGTCAATATGACAGTGTATAAAATATTACAATGCATGTCCGGGTCTGTCTAGGACTAGTTTTCACATCCTTAGATCAGATTTTTCATACAGAAAAGTTAAAAAGAGGACCACCCTCACTCAGCCAATCAGCTCTCAGCCCAATAAGTCAAATAGTAACACACAGGGCTCTTTCAGACACATGAGATGAAGTCAGCATGTAAAGGCGTTCTAGAGGTGATGCTGCGGTGGGATATGCGCAGTGTTCAGGACATAAAAATTACGCAGACACACGCGCTTCTCACGGCGTCTGATCCTGACGTCTTGGGTTTGCTCTGTGTGTTTGTGTGTGTTTGCCTAATACTGTATATTGTTTGTGTCTCACCTTGAGCACAGATCCCGCGGCTCCTCTTAACGCCATTTTTACACACGTGACCAGACACTGCACATGTGCAGAGCTGACTGCCGCGCACTCTGCCGTCTGCTGGACACTGAGGGAACCGCGGCATAAGCACAACACACGAGAATTTACTATTACAGAAACCACATTGTTATCATAGACTGTAAATATTAATTGTTTGTTATAGATTGTGGTCCTGCGTACGAAGGACCTAAACTGCCAAAATAATAAATAGCCATATATATAAAATATATATGGCCATAAATAGCCATGTGTGTATATATATATATATATATATATATATATATATATATATATATTCGCTCTGGTCTCTCTCTCTGGTCCGTCTATGGCCTCTCTCTCTCTGGTCTCTATTGTCTCCTCCCCCTATGCTTCCCACTCACTATGAGGATACTCCACATAACTGCTGCATGTTTACCTTTTAAAGTCACAAAACTGCACTGACGTCACACTCAAGAATCGCATCTCTCACGTCACGGCCCACGACGCAGCAGAGACCTCTGATGTGGACTGTGGACGTCATCAGACGTGTCAAATGAATCCACCATCAATAACAAGACTAGTAATTGAATATTTATGCAAACATTTCCATAAAAGATAATCTAGTTGCTGTGCTCTGGTAAACATCACACTGTAAAGCTGTTCAAAAACTCTGAGTTTATGGTCGAAATCGAATGTTGGCAGACAAAACTCTGGTGGAAAAGTCAAAACTACGGTGGAAAAGTTGATTTATGCTTAGGCAGTGCGTATTCTCTTTAAACATAAGAAACACAACCAGTAAAAACATTAGAAATTGCATACGTTCTACACATTTCCGGCGCTGTAGTGTTTGTTTGGTCTTTATCCTTCTCAGAGCCCGTATAGTGACCACTTAGTGACCATAGTGACAGTAATGTAGGCTCGCCTGACAGTCTGTGCTCAGGGCGAAACTCCCGCCTCCTCCTGACTTTACCGTATATGGTCACAGGCAGACGCAAAGCTGTCACGGGCTTCTTCCGGGTTCGGTAGCGGTCTCTAGTGTGTCTTTTTCGGTTTCATTTCGCCTCTATCTCCGCAGTCCAGGTTCCACACGCGAGTTCCACACCCAAGGAACCATGCCCTATGATCTGAGTGAGTACAGCCGCCTCGCACGGCTCTTAACCTTAGACCGCTGGAAACTACTGTCTCTCTGTTAGCCTGTTAGCTCGCCTCGCCCATTCAAATGCATTGTTGTTGTGGAGTCTGCGTTGAACGATTACAAGCATATTATGTACTCGTTTATCAATTCATGGTCAATGTCATTCTCTACAGGGGAGACTACTCCTCCTAAATAGCAAATATGAGTCACCTGCGTTAATTTTGTCTAATTTTTGTAAAAGAATGTTTAGCTACATATCATGTTTTAGTGTCTAATTTAAAGCTGAGGTATGTAACTCTAAAGCTGGAGTACTTTCAAACCAGACCAATAGAACTCTGTAATAAACCAATGTCTCTAGTTCCTGGCTCTAAAACAGTTGCTTACATCTTTATTTTCACATCATGTTCTTTGGTCTTTGTCACATCTTTTAAATCAGCTTTTTCAGACAGAGAACTAACTACTTGTTATCTGGGAGGCTAAAGTTACATACCCTAGCGCTAAACATGTGTTATTTATGAGACTTAAGTTACATACTCCAACCATAATTGTGACGAATACTTAAAGTTTCTGTTTGCAACAGCTGGAACCCTTTTCTCCTTTCTGCAATTTCTGTACACTTGTACAAAATGGGCAACCGTTCATACACCGTCCGACATGCAGTCGTGCAAACCTGAGAAAGTTGTAGTGGAGTTTGTCTTTGTTTTAGAAAAAAGTTGATGTAGAACATAAGATTAGGATGAAAAATACTATTGCATGAGTCGTAGGATGTCTGTATTTTTGTTGAACAGCAGTCTTTGAAATTTTTTAGATTGGTTTATTTGGTCTCTGGCCATTCTCTGGTTGCGTTCTCACTCCGGTCATGCTCTCTGGTCTCTCTCTGTGGTCTCTCTCTCTCATCAAAACCTAACCTGTTGCCATTTGTTTGAGCAGTTTGTGCGTGTCCCGACGGAGAAACCCAAACCAGAAGTTATATTTCAGCTGCAGGGCGAGTACAGGCCTGTTCTCCAGTTCACTGGGACCAGACTCTCACTAAGGGATGCACCTTTACGCACGCTCTGTTAGAGTAATAATCACAGACACTTGCTTCAGAATCACAGCTTCAGAATCTTGTTTCCTGGAAATACCGACTCGTGTTCAAACAGGAAATGTTTAGTAAGCCATGGCGTGTGGAGGAAAAGGGGAAGAGTGTTTGGGGGAAGTTTACAAGGTTGTATTAGCTTAATAAAGGAAGTATTTGTAAATCCACTCTGTTCTAAGTGGTGTTTTCCTTGTTTTTAAATCGGCTTTTTTCTGAAGTAAAGATAGTAATTTGAGTAACTAAATGTCTCCTACATAAGTTACTTCAACATTCTCTGATCTCCCTCTGGTCTCCCTCTGGTCTCCCTAGTGTAGTACTCCAGTATTGAAGTTCCTGTCCTTGTTTCCAGAGCATGTGTTTGCCAGTCTCCCTCAGATGGAGAGGGGTCAGTCCAAAGTGATCAGTGGAGACCCCAAAGGGAACAACTTCCTCTACACAAATGGGAAGTGTGTCATCATCCGCAACATCGAGGTGAGGTTACTTCTAATATGACTGATGTTACTGCAGGTACGACTGCTGCTAATACTGCTACTAATACTCCTACTACTGATGCTGCTATTAGTGCTGCTAATACTACTACTGCTTTGTTCCAGAACCCTCAAATCGCAGACGTGTACACAGAGCATGTGCATCCGGTGCAGGTGGCAAAGTACGCGCCCAGTGGCTTCTACATTGCATCAGGAGGTCAGGACTGTCCCAGAACTGTCCCCGGACTGACACAGACTGACCCTGGCTTGTTGTTTTGTAGACTCCACTGGCAAAGTGCGCATCTGGGACACCACACAGAAGGAGCACATCCTGAAGTTCGAGTATCAGCCTCTGTCCGGGAAGGTCATGGATATCAGCTGGACTGAGGACAGCAAGAGACTGGCTGTTGTGGGGGACGGGCGAGAGAAGTGAGTGTCCAGGTTTAGGCCCAGATCCAGGTCCAGGGTGAGAAACCGATGATAGCAAGAGTGTAGCCGTGGTGGGCAATGGGCGAAAGAAGTGAGGGACCAGACAAGACAAAGTCCAGGTCTAGAGGAGCCCGTGGTAACAGACTGGAGACTGGCCCACAGGTCAATTGAATGTAATTGTGTATGGCTCTAAATCACAACAGCAGCTATCTCGCAGGACTTTACAAGTTGTGGTTCCACCAACAGATCAGAGAAACAAAAAGAGAACACAGGAAATGCAATAATAACAAACGCATAGGAGCCACCTCTGCATCCCCCCTGTCCCCCTGGGCCTCCTCTTATTCTCCTCACGTGCTTCTTATGTTCTCCTCCCCCTGTTCCTCCTCTTGCTCCCCTCCAAATGTATTACTGGTCTTCTTCATGTTCTCCTCATGCGCTCCTCCTGGTCCTCCCCAGGTTCGCCTCAGTCTTCCTTTGGGACACCGGCTCTTCCGTGGGAGAACTCACAGGACACTCTAAACACATCAACAGCGTTGACATCAGACAGAAGAGACCGTACCGCATCGCCACCGCGAGCGACGACACCACTGCAGGGTTCTTTGAGGGACCTCCCTTCAAGTTCAAGTTCACCATCAGGGTACTGCTGCTACTACTACTACTAATGCTGCTGATACTGCTGATTTTACTGCTGGTAGTAGAAATTTACCAACTGAGCCACTGTCGATTTCTGAAGTAGAGCATTGGCCTTTGAGCCTGAAGGTTGTGGGTTCAAGCTCACCACCAGACCTACTTCATGACTCCCACTGATGACTGCTGTCGTTGTGTCCTTGGGCAAGACACTTAACCCCACTTTGCCTGAAGCCCCTGCTGAATAATCAAGGCTCCTGTGGACTCACCACCTGCAGGAGGATCAATGAGGGGCTGGTGCTCTGTGTACTGGGTGCAGCTCTGACTGCCACCCCCCCGACCCAGAAATTGATTAAGGGGAAGAAAATGGATGGATGGATAGTAGCAATCTAGAAACGCAGCTTCACTTTAGGTTGGCTGTGTATTTTCAAAGATATGCAGTTCTGTCAGATGACCAACAGAGGGGACCAGGATTCACCCAGTCATGAGTAAATCCTGCTGCGGTTCAAGGAAGGCTCAATAGTATATTCTACCTCTGATGCTCCTACAGGCAGATGGTGAGGACTTAGCGAAAGAGATGATGACAACTTTTAGACAGAGATGGTGACGACTTAAAGTTCTGCTTCAGTTTTTCCTTTTGTTTTTGCATCACTTCAGGGCTGCCACAAGTATTTTTAGAATGTGGATATTGAAGAGAATCATAAATCGTGTGTGGGTCTTTCTCTATTTGTTCTCACTCTGGTCTCTGTTACAGGAGCACAATCAGTTTATAAACTGCGTTCGTTTCTCTCCTGATGGAACTCACTTTGCCACCGCTGGCGCTGATGGTCAGGTCTGTAGTTGTCACTTTGGGTTTGGGGTCATGGAGACAGTTTCACCTGTGTGAAAGTCCATTTCCTGGTTTTTGTTTTGTCGCTTGTTAAATATGATTTTCCTGTTTCAGATTTTCCTATATGACGGTACAAAGGGTGAGCTGGTGCGTGCTCTAGGCGGCGAGAAGGCGCACAGCGGCGGCATCTACTCGGTAACATTTCAAGTTGTCTACAGGACAATGCTCTGTGCTGAGTCTGCATGGTCTCCCTCTTGTCTCTCTCCCTGGTCTCTGATCTTTTCTCTGGGTCATGTCTTAGGACTGTACAAAAATACAATGAATTAAGTCACAACCATAGTTATCTCAGAGGACTTTACAAAGTTGAATTGCCAGATACATATATACATATAAGAAATATGATACTGCGGAGTAGCGGATCAACTTTATTTACGTATTTTGTGTTTTGATGTCTTGGACCAAAATTTAAAAAAAAAGAAAAGGAAAAAGAGGGCTGCATGAGACAGCTTAAAAGTTAAATGAACTGGAACTGTAAATGATTTTGTGTTGATAGGGGGCAGACATTATAAGTTTTTACTTCTTTCTGCTCCTTTTCATTCATGCTAAATGCTGTTGTTGCATTTGTTTTTAAATGAATGAAATAAATAAAAAAAAAAAAAGACAGATCAGGGAATCAGGGAATCAATCTTCTCAAAAAAAGGAAAGGCAATAATAATAATTTAAAAAAAAACACATTTTGGGACAGATAAGGGGCTGGGTCTCTGGTCCCTCTGGTCCTTCTGGTTCATCTCTCTGGTCCTTCTGGTTCATCTCTCTGGTCCTTCTGGTGCATGTCTCTGATCCTTCTGGTTCATGTCTCTGGTCCTTCTGGTTCATGTATCTGTCTTCTGACCCTCTACAGATTAGCTGGAGCCCGGACAGCTCCCAGCTGATCTCTGCTTCTGGAGACCGCACGGTTAAGCTGTGGGACGTGGGCAGTGGGTCGGCGGTCACCACCTTTTCCATGGGCTCCGGGGTGAACGACCAGCAGCTCGGGTGTCTGTGGCAGAACGACCATCTTCTTAGCGTGTCTCTAAGCGGGAACATCAACTACCTCGACAAGAATCAGCCCACAAAACCACTGAGGGTGATCAAGGTGAGATCCGACCAGACACAGACCCAGATCAGGACCTGAGGGTGAGACCAGAATATGCCAGGACCAATATCTGACACAGACCTGACCCAGTCAAAGACCTGGACAAGAACAATTCCAATAGACCTGACAAGGACTAAGACACAAACACAACAGAACAAGCCATCTGAGAGGCCTTGTGAGGGCCCTGAAGTAGAGTCAAGGACCCCAGATACAGACCCCTACTAGGATCTGACACAGACCTGACCCTAACCCAGACCATCCTGTCTTCATAAGTGCTGGATGTGTTTCAGGGCCACACAAAATCCATCCACTGTCTGACGGTTCACAAAGGAGACGGCCGCTCCTACATCTACTCTGGCAGCTCAGATGGAAACATCAATATCCTTTCACCTCCTGGTGAAGGACTCGTACTCTGTAGATCAGGGGTCACCAACCTCTTTAAATCCTAGGGCTACCTCAGATGGCATCAGGGCTTCTATACACTCACCGGCCCCTTTATTAGGTACTCCTATACAACTCCATTTTAATGCAAATTCCTAATCAGCCAATCACATGGCAGCCTCTCAATGCATTTAGGCATGTAGACATGGTCAAGACGATCTGCTGCAGTTCAACCTGAGCATTAGAATGGGGAAGAAAAGTGATTTAAGTGACTTTGAACGTGGCATGGTTGTTTAATCAATCAATAACATTTTATTTATAAAGCGCTTTTCATACAAAAGATGGAACACAAAGTGCTTTACAGTTTGGTTAAAAACAATCCCGCCGGCCCAAGACCCCTCCCCCAGACCACACACACACACACACACACCCATCCATCCATCTATTTACACCAGTAAAACAATAAAACCATGATGAGAGACTTGGCAGGGTTCAGATGCAACCAGCTGAAAAAGCGTCATCCAAGGAGCCGTCTGCACCAGGAGCAGAGAGCCGCCCATAGCCACAGGGGACGACACAGGACCCAGAGGAGACATGAAACTCAAGCCCCCACCAGGCCCAAGAGTCCGACCCCCGCAGCCACACCGACCACTGCTCCCAGTGCAGAGGAAACACTGGGTACACTAAAAACAATACAATAAGTAAAACACTAAAATGTGAGACTAAAAGGAACACACAATACATGAATAATAGCAATATAATAAATAATAAATAATAAAAGATAAATAGAATGGAATAATAAAAACTAATCAAAAGCTAATCTAAAAAAGTGTGTCTTGAGCCTACTTTTAAAAATATGAATGTTCTCTGCGGCCCTGAGCTCCTGAGTTGTTGGTGCCAGACGGGCTGGTCTGAGTATTTCAGAAACTTCTGATCTACTGAGATTTTCACACACAACCATCTCGAGGGTTTTCTCACTTTTTCCCACTGGGTTTTTTAAGAGTTTTTCCTTGTCGATGCAGGAGGGTCTTGTTGGACAGTTAGTGTCCAACAGAAAGGATTGGTGATGATCAGGACACTTTAGTATTCTACAACATGTATGGACATTTTCTTCTGTGTGTGCTTTATATTCTTCATGTGTTTTAACTGTTGATTCTCTGACCTGTGTTGGTGATTTCAATGGTTTTGTTAAGTCCTCTGAGATGACTTCTGTTGTGACCTAGGGCTATACAAGAATAAATTATATTGTATTGTATTGTATTGTATTTACAGAGAATGGTCTGATAAAAAGAAAATATCCAGTGAGCGGCAGTTCGGTGGGCGAAAATGCCTTGTTGATGCCAGAGGTGAATGGCCAGACTGGTTCGAGCTGAGGCTACAATTCGTATAGGCTCTCCTAAATTGGACAATAGAAAATTGGAAAAAGTTGCCTGGTCTGATGAGTCTCGATTTCTACTGCGACATTCGGATGGTAGGGTCAGAATTTGGAGTCAACATGAAAGCATGGATCCATCCTGCCTTGTATCAACGGTTCAGGCTGGTGGTGGGGGTGTAATGGTATGGGGGATGTTTTCTTGGCACTCTTTGAGTCCCTTAGTTCTAATTGAGCATCGTTGCCACGCCACAGCCCACCTGAGTATTGTTGCTGACCATGTCCATCCATCTATGACCACAGTGTACCATCTTCTGATGGCTACTTCCAGCAGGATAAACACCTTGTCATAAAGCTCAAATCATCACAGACTGGTTTCTTGAACATGACAATAAGTTCACTGTACTGTTATGGCCTCCACCAGGTCTCAATCCAATAGAGCCCAAATTTGTAACAGAGTATAGTCTTCTCTCTGTCACATCCTCTCTGTATCTTCCTTGACCCTCTCACCTCGATGGGACTCTGACTTGGGTCTGACCGAGTGCTTCTCTGGGAAAGGTCACACAAACCAGGTGTCGTCGATGTGTGTGAACGAGAGCGAGGAGTTGGTGACCTGCAGCATGGACGACACTGTGAGGTTCACTGCCACAGGGGGCCAGGAGTACAGGTACTACTACTTGCACTGCTAATCCAGCTGCTTCATGGCTGCTGCTGCTGCTGCTGATGGTTCTTCTGATGTGTTGTCTGCCCCCTAGTGGTGACGTGGTGAAGATGGACTCTCAGCCCAAGTCTGTGAGTGCATCTGGAGCCCTAACGCTGGCAGTGTGCATTGGACAGGTCAGTCTGAGTTCACACTCAAGCTGAGGACCGTAAACTTTCAATTTTCTGTCTGAAAAAGTTGATCTAAAGATGTGAAGGCCCAGAGCCGGGCCCTAGAGCCGGGCCCTAGAGCCGGGCCCTAGAGCCGGGCCCTAGAGCCGGGCCCTAGAGCCGGGCCCTAGAGCCGGGCCCTAGAGCCGTGGATTTTTATCAGAGTTCTGTGTAGTCTGAAAATACATACCCCTTGTTGATGATTTTTCCTGACATTACGAGCCCTGGGTCATTTAAACCCTTCACTGTCCGGTAACTTTGACCTGAGGGTAGCGCAAGGGTTTGTCACATGCCTCAGCTTTCACCTCTGTTGCAGTGGTTCAGACCCTGGTGACCTTTCTGTTGCAGATTGTACTGCTGAAGGACAAGAGGAAAGTGTTCAGTTCTGACTCTCTGGACTTCGAGCCGGAGGTGGGAGCTCTGCAGCCAGGGGGCGCTGTGGCTGCAGTGGGAGACGCTGTAAGTGACGTGTGCTGTTGTTACATGAACCATAACTCCGCTGTGAACACTGGTCTGATCCTAGCCTGGTTGTAGCACACCTTTGTACAAATTACATTTCGTACTAAGGTCTGGATTTGCTCCATTGAGCTCCGTGAACAGGTGGGAGGGGCTAACTCCTTTTGCAGATTGAAACGATTGGATCTGAGTTTACTGTGACGTATGTAATGCGCCCGAGTGAGTTGTTAGCATTTAGCAGCGCCACAATTTTTCCAGTGATTACATTTGCTAAACATTCTTTTTGCTCCGGCTTCATTTTCTTGATAGAACCAGACCGGATTACTTTATTATCGCATTCTTTGCCATTGCCAAACTACAACCTGCCCGTTCGGCGCAAACTCTTGACGTCACCGGCACGACCTACAACACCCGCCTTCCGCGCTCGCTGAGTAGCCGGTCGAAATACGACCGATTGTTATCACTAACACAGGGACCAGACCCAGACGTTACATGCAGTGAAATGATTATTGAGCGGAGTGAACGGATGGCTATGGCCAGGCTAGTTTGATCCTAAACTTTCACTGGTCTTTCTCTTTTCTCTTTGTCTCTCTCTTTTCTCTTTGTGGTTCAGAAGATCTCTTTTCTCTGGTCTATTTTCTCTCTGGTGTCCGAGAGTCACTTCTTGTTCTTGTTTCAGGAGGGTAAAATCCACCTGTATTCAGTGCATGGCAGCTCCCTGGCTCCGGAGGGCCCCCTGCTGGAGGCCAGAGGGAAACTAACAGCTCTGGGCTTCTCTCCTGATGGAGCGTTCCTCGCTGCGCTGGACGACCAGAAAGTATTGACTGTGTTCACTGTGGCCGACAACTACAGCGTGAGTATTATTACTGCACTACTGTAAGTACTGCTGTAAGTGAAAGTTTAAGACGCCTAGGGTTTCACATACATTTCTAAACGTCACAGAGCTCTGTTCAATCCATTATTCACAAATGAACCACTGCAAAGTTACCAACACAAACCCACACCTCCAACCAGAACGGCACTGAACACAAATGGAGACATGAGGCCCATTATTACTCTGGAGTAGAGCTGGGCGATATGGCAAAAAAAAAAAAAAAACATCTCGATTTTTATTTCCTGCTTTGGACGATTTGGATTTTTAACAAATTTAGTCACTGAAGACAGACTTTGCCCTTAAAAATATTTTTTATCTTTCCGCTCAATATTCAAGTTTCAAAACTATTTTTTATTTGTTTCCCCCAATACTTATTATAAAAGTATTGTACAGATTGTGCTGATATTGCAAGTATAATTAATGTGCTGCTGGATCTCTCACGATATCCTTCATTTGATTTCACGATTTTCACATTTTTCACACATTTGATTTTTTCAAAAGCCGATTAATTGCCAAAATTTGATTGCCCAGCCCTACTCTGGAGTAACTCATCTACGTTCATGGGTCCAGGTCAAAGGTCACTTCTACGGTCACCACGCCAAGCCGGTAACGCTGTGCTGGAGTCCGGACTCTGAACACATCGCCACCGGAGGAATGGACATGAACGTGATTGTGTGGGACGTGAACGATGAGGACAAGCGGATCAAGATGCCAGGTTGGGATACTATTGAGACTGATGCTACTGCTAATGATGCTACGGCAAAAGATGCTAATGAGGATGATGCTAATGAGAGTTATGCTACTGCTAACTATGCTAGTATACCACCAGGACTCCCTGAGCTGGACCCGGTCTGAAACAGTTTGCCTCCTCTCTCCTCAGACTGCCATCGGCTGCACCATGTGAGCGGATTGGCCTGGATCGACGCCCACACACTGGTCACCACCTCCCACGACTCCACCGTCAAGCAGTGGACCCTCACCTACTGAGACCAGGACTAGGACCCAAACCAGGACCCAATCCAGAGACCAGACCTGGATTCTGAGTGATGACCGTGTGAATGATGTTTGTCTTTTTATATTTATGCAGAAAACGGTTCATTTGTGCCATGCTGCCACTTCATCAGGATCGAGGCTCAAACTGGTCTCTGATGAGGTGGCCCACAAGGACAAATGATTGACAACTCCACATTCCTTTGATCTCGTCTGCGTCTCAGTCTGTGGTTCTCTCTTTCCCCCAAAATCATGAACAGGAAGAGACACAAACACAAAAGCACTTATAAAGTTATAACTGTTTCTTGGTGAAGATGCTGATGTAAATTTAAATCTAATTCAAGTCAATCGGATAAAATCAGGATTTCTTTGGTCACATTCCGGATCACTGCATACTCCTCATGTACTCTGTACTACAGAAGATTGTCTTTTTTGCTTCTGAAATAAAGGAACGTTTGTCTAAAATCTCATTGTGTTTGTGTCACTGTTTCATCCGTTGTAGTTTATTGGTCTGTGCTCTGCAGAGATTGTAAAGTATGAGTGAAACAGTCCAACAGTTGGACTCTACGAGCTCTGCACATCTAAAGACCGAATGTTTGTCTCATTCCTCTTTACAGAACAGCTCTATTGTCTGAACAGGACTCAGACAAGACTCAGATGCTCCATGCAGATTACTTACTAAATCAGAGTATTGGAGTCACATGGGGCTCATTGAGGATCATTGGACTCATGTGAGACCCGTCCCACGGGTCTCAGACTGAAATCCCACACACAGTCCCACTGCAGGTTCCAGGGTCCACAGAGTTCATTCTAAAGTGCCGGTCTACTCTGGTCTCTGCAGCGGTGAGTCTTTACTTATAAACGCTTGTGCTGAGTTTGGAGAATACGTTGTTTATTACAATTATTATGAATACTATGATATAAGAATATGTGCTTTAAATGTGTTCTAAATTTCTGAACCCTCGCCCAACCAGACCTCTTCTGAATATTTAGAGGCAATTTGCATAATGTTATAGTATTCAGGTTTTTTATTTTTTTTAACCTTATAAGAATGAATGAGTTAATTTGTTTTGTTTCCCCAATCACTTGCTACACACTCACACAAACCTTTACTCTTCCCTCAGTGGGGAAATTTCAATGTCATTGTTGCGCATATTACAGCGTAAAAAAGGAGAAAATAATTGGGCTCTTGATCGGCACACGTCAAACAGGATCTATTATTTAAGATAAAATAATACAACTCTGGAGCTATAATTGCACTTGGTTCAAGGATGTGTACTGTGTACACTTGTGGAGTATACACCAAAAAAACCAAAACACACCTTTTTCCCCTCCGCGGGCGGTTATCCCTCTCTAAGCTCGGGTCCTCTACCAGAGGCCTGGGAGCTTGAGGGTTCTGCGCAGTATCTTTGCTGTTCCTAGCACTGCACATTTCTGGACCAAGATGTCCGAGGTTGTTCCAGGGATCCGCTGTAACCACTCTTCTAGCTTCGGGGCCCCGCGTGCACCGATCACCACGGGCACTACTGTCACCTTTACCCTCCAGGCCCTCTCCAGCTCCTCTCTGAGACCTTGGTATTTCTCAAGCTTTTTGTGTTATTTTTTCCGGATGTTGCCATCGCTTGGAATTTCCACGTCCACCACAACAGCTGTCCTCTGCCCTTTGTCCACCACCACAATGTCAGGTTGGTTCATTACCATTCAGTCGGTCTGTATCTGGAAGTCCCACAGGATCTTCGCACGATCATTCTCCACCACCTTTGGAGGAGTTTCCCACTTAGACCTTGGAGTTTCCAGCTCATACTATATATATATATATATATATATATATATAATGAAAATATAGCATTTTTCGGGAGGTATTTACAGATGGTTGGTATTGTGCTTTAGCAGCAGAGAATATTGACCACAATAAACAATAGTAATAATCGCAGCAGGTAAAGTGACTAGTGAAATATCAGAGCAGAGTTATCAGATAAATGTAATACGGTAAGGATTTAGTAGTAGCAGGTAAAGTGATTGTCAGAACAGGTGAGAGCCCAGCCCGTCCAGGCTCAGAGTTGTCATTGTACAGTCTGACAGCAGCAGGAAGGAAGGACCTGCGTGACCCATCAAGGGTGGATAGGTCTGTCACTGAGACTGCTCCTGGAGCCTCCTGTCCCCCACCTGTTGCACTGTCCAGCCCAGGACAGAGCTGGACTTCCTGATGACGTCGTCCAGCTTCTTTATGTGCAGTTTGTGATTCAAGTTAGATATATTATATGCCCCAGCTTTAACAATGCATGTGTGACCTATGACCTGGCTTAAGATAAGATAAGATAAGAATTCCTTTATTCGTCACACAATGGGGAAATTTCGATGTTGCATCGCACATATGGGACAGTAGTAAGAGCACACAGGGATCACACACAATATATACACAAATAAGTAGTAGCTATGTTTCTTAGCTAACATAACTAGCTGTAGATGCTGAAAATGCTTCAATACCAGTCAAAAAATATATATGTAGTAGTGCAGTTATATACTGTACAGTTAAATAGTGCAGGATAAAAAGTATATAAGTAAAGTGACATGAGGTAAAGTGACATTGTTCTGTGACATTCTGAAGTTGCAGTATTGCACATTGCACATGATTTAAGAATTTACTTAATTACAGATGAATGAAATTTACAGGCTCAGCAGTTCTTATTGTACAGTCTGACAGCAGCAGGAAGGAAAGACCTACGGAACCTCTCCTTCACACAGCGAGGGTGAATTAGTCTGTCACTGAAGCTGCTCTCCAGAGCAGAGAGAGTGTCCTGCAGGGGGTGACAGTCATGGTCCAGCATAGATGTTAGTTTGCTCAGGACCCTCCTGTCCCCCACCTGCTGCACTGTGTCCAGGGAACAGCCCAGGACTGAGCTGGACTTCCTGATGACCTTGTCCAGCTTCTTCCTGTCCCTCTCTGTGATGCTGCTGCTCCAGCAGACCACACCGTACAAGATGGCTGATGCCACCACAGAGTCATAGAAGGTCTTCAGGAGTGGCCCCTGCACTCCAAAAGACCTAAGCCTCCTCAGTAGGTAGAGGCGACTCTGGCCCTTCTTGAAGAGGGCATCCGAGTTATGAGTCCAGTCCAGTTTGTGGGTAAGATGAACACCCAGGTACTTGTAAGAGTTGAAGAAGATGACATGTCTGGGATCGCGTCTTTAATTCAGACAGAAGACATGTTTTATTGTCGATGGTAGAGACAGCACGAACAACAGATACAACAGAGTGCAAGTGTATTGTACAGAGCGGAGGCATGGAGACCTCCAATCAGCAGCTGCCACGGTGTGCTTGTAGCTTGGCCTTCAGATAGACAAAACAAGGGAAAAGTACAGGCTTCTGCACATTGATGGAATGATGAGTTTAACTTTAACAAAAGTTGCTTAAAAGTGTTATGAAATCTCACATTCCCCCCTCTGGTCACACATTCACGTGTGACCATCAGGATCGATAAACAGGAACATAACATCATAACTCAATACTTCAAAACTCATAAACTCTGTACTTCACTCGGTACTTCAACAAACTCAGAACTCGGAACTCAATACTTAAACTCATAAAACATTTTCAGATCTTTCATAAAACTCGTCAACAATCTTCAGTAAAATACCAAACTTCATCAGTCGATGGTGGTTCCAGATATTGCTTTGAAAACAGTCTCTCCCACTTCTCCGTGTTGATTTCTTCAGGCTGCATTTGTGTCGAGCCATGAATTCTTCTGTGACGTGTCTTTCAATCACACGTTTCAGCTTTAGTGTCCAGATTCAGCAATTCAATTCAGTCCAAATGATGTCCAAATTCAGAAATCCAATTGTTCCAAATTATGTCCAAACTGTGTAATCCAATTGTTCCAAATGCTGTCCATGCAAAAGAGGACGCTGGTGTTGTCCATGTCTCAGCAGCTCACAGCAGGCCTGAGTGGAATCAGGGGCTGTGCAGATTGTCCATGTGCTGATCCAGATGCATGGTTTGTCTTGAGGTTTCTCAGTTTTGCCTTGAAAAAAAAACACTTTTTGTGTAAAAAAAAAAAAGTAGTCTTCTGTTCACTAGATGTTACAGACAAGGCCCGCATCCTTCCACCACCTGAAGAAGATGACATGTCTGGGATCGCGTCTTTAATTCAGACAACACGAACAACAGATACAACAGAATGCAAGTGTATTATACAGAGCGGAGGCATGGAGACCTCCAATCAGTAGCTTCCACGGTGTGCTTGTAGCTTGGCCTTCAGACAGACAAAACAAGGGAAAAGTACTGGCTTCTGCACATTGATAGAATGATGAGTTTAACTTTAACAAAAGTTGATTAAAAGTGTTATGAAATCTCACAGAGTCCACTCTCTCGATGTCCTTTCCCTGGATGTTCACTGGAGCTGGAGCGGCAGAGTGACGTCTGCGGAAATCCACCACCATCTCCTTGGTCTTCCCCGCGTTGATGAGGAGGTGGTTCCGCTGACACCAGTCCACAAAGTCCTGTATAACTCCTCTGTACTCTGTGTCATCGTCCTCGGAGCTGAGTCCGATGATGGCAGAGTCGTCAGAGAACTTCTGTAGAACACAACCGTCCGTGTTGTGTCTGAAGTCCGCAGTGTAGAGGGTGAAGAGGAACGGCGCGAGGACAGTTCCCTGGGGGGCCCCCACACTGCAGGTCAGGACCTCCGACACAAAGTCCCTGGTTCTCACAAACTGGGGTCTGTCTGTGAGGTAGTCCAGGATCCACTGGGACAGGTCGTATTCCACACCGGCTGTCTCCATCTTGTCCCTGAGAAGCCTCGGCTGGATGGTGTTGAAGGCACTGGAGAAATCAAAGAAGAGGATCCTCACAGCGGTGCCGGGTTTCTCCGGGTGGGACAGGGAGCGATGGAGGAGGGAGATGATGGCGTCCTCGACTCCGATGCCCGGCCTGTAGGCGAACTGCAGCGGGTCTATCGCTGGGCTCAGAGTGGAGCGGAGATGTCCCAGGACCAGTCT